ATTTTACCTGGTTTCACTTCATGGCCATACAAATAAAAAGGCATATCTTCATGAACCATGGAACAAGTTAGATGTTCAAATTCAGAAATACAAGAAAATATCTATCATGTGGTTATGGTGATTTACACCCAAATGTCAGGATCATGGAGGATGTTAACCCTCTCTAGCACCATTACTCTGTGTATTTTAATTCTGTATAGTGCTGCAAGCACATGCATTTATGATGCTATAGAAAGGCCCCAAATGAGAATAATAGTAGCAATAATTGGGGGTTTTTTAGATCCTGCCAGCACCCTATACCATCACAGGTAAACTTTTTTTCTTTCTACACTTTCCATCCACCTGCAAGTACCTTAGGATTGCAGCTCCCTGGATCATCACTGCTCCTGTCAGTGTATCAAATTCTGCTCTTTATCTGGCAAAAATCATGAGTGATTCGCAATAGAAATAATAGCAGGGGGAGCTTGTTTTAAACAACAGAAGTCTACCACAGAAGTAGTAACAATTGAAAAGGTCTGACTGTATTAAGATTTCTGCTGCGAACATGCTCATTGCATTCTCCTATGGAGGAGTTAAAAGGAGAGAAGCCCCAAATTCAAATAACAATAGGTACCACATGTGGAAAGCTGTGAGGTAGAGAAAAAAGGCCAAAGAGATGAAAGCAAAGAAATAATGAAAAGGAGAAATGAGACACTGGTAAAATACTGGTAGAAATAGAAAAGACAGAACAGTTTGAAAACTGAGATGTAGAAGGAAGATAATACAAGTAATGGAAATAACTTCAGAATACAGGATGAGAATGAAGAACAAATGGATTACAGGTGGACTGAAGGAGAGATGATGAGACAGAGAAAAGAAAGGAGAGGGAGCATGGAGGTATCTAATTACAGAATTCATTGGAGGCAAGATAAAATTACAGGTGGAGATGAGAAAAGTTTAAGAAAAGATGGTATAAGATGGAAATCCACAACCAGAGATGTATGTATCTGGAAATGGGATAAATAAAATGACTATTGTGCAGGCTAAAGGCAGAATTAGGATTTGAGGAATGTTATGAGAAGAGTATGAATAGGAAAATGGATAAAAAACAAGGTTATGTACAGAGGTAGGACACAAGATGCTATGAAAGAAAGACCTTAGGAAAGGAATGGGAAATGAAAAGCAATAGGTGAAGCAGGGACTTGGATGGAGAGCTAGGTGCTAGCCCAGGTGCATGCAAGGTCATCTTACCAGTCCACCACAGGTACTGAAGGAGGCGAAGGAGCCTGGGTAGCGGAGGACAGCACCACTGTAGTAACAAGCTCTCTCAGGTTGCGACTGTGCGGCACTGGGTGGACTTTTGCCCTCACCCCCGAGCCGCTCTTCCACAGCAAAGCCAGGAGCCAGGAAGCGGCTGTCCCTCTTGAGCAGCAGGTAGAGTTCCCGAGCAAAAGCTGGGATCCTCAACAGCACTTCATCTGCATCCTCTACTGGAGGTGGTGGGGGGGGGGATGGTGGTGTTGGCAACTGAGAGGCAGCACCAGACCCCTGGGGCAGGGGGGACCAGTGGTAAAACTCCTGAGACTCATACTCATCCTCAGTGTCCTCTTCCTCTGCTGCCTCCCCTACAGCCTGTGCCTGGCCATCCACCGAGGAGGAGACTGAGCGCACCTCTCGGGAACTGCCAGCCACTGGGCTAGGTGTGACTGGGGCACTGAAAGTGCTGCTTCGGTTCCCACTACTGGGGTCGACGCTGCAACCCCCACCACCACCACCACTGCCACCTGTTGGCTCCTGCTGGCCCGGGCTCCATAGGGCAGGGAAGACGATCTCCCATTCTTCAGTTTCTTCTGAAGCATGGAGACCTGTGGGAAATCCGGCAGATGCTTTAAATGAGTGGAGCACTGAGAGGCATCCAGTGCATGCCAAAAACCTACCCTTTACCCAACACAAGTCCTAGACCAACAATCATGCCACAAAAAATACTGTGGGGTTCATCTGTACCTTTCGTCTTGCCCTTACACACAATAGGGAGGCCAGCTGCTAGATGGGTCTGTGCTTGTTGATGTGTCTGGAACACACCAAGGTCCTGCATAACACTAAGAAAAAGTACTCCAAGCTGGCAGAAGTTGTGCTCGTACCAGTAGCTGGAGATGTTCTTCCTTTTGATCACCAGCTCCAAGCAAGGGAAGTTGCATAAACCCTTCATCATTTAGACAAAGTAACAACTTTTCATATTAAAAAAAAAAAAAAAAAAAATTGCTGAAAAACCTAAAAAAAATTTAAAATTGCAACCTTCTCAGAATTCTGTGCTAGACCCATTATGCCTCCCAAAGTTCGGCCAAACATACACACACATACACACCTTGGCTGCACATACAAGTGGGAGCTGCGTGCACATGCTGTCTCATGATTATTCTTATAATGAAACTGAATTAGAATCACTAACTACTTATGTCCGGATATCCCACACACTCTACATCACAATACAACCAAAGTCCGGTATGCCAGCATTATGTTTACAAAGATCTGAGTACACACAACCTCCACTAGCCTGACACAGGAAACAGTTTTATTTACACATTCATCTCACACTCTAGGAACAGCTCAGCCGGGAGAGATGATAGGGCTGCTTGTGGAAATCAGGTCTCGTACAGAGGAGCGCTGCTCAGTGCACCCTCACAGCCGAGGCGCGCATTATCTGATCACCCATCAGTTACGGGGGGCGCCGCGGTTAACAATGGCCAGGTACCGCCACCGGCAGCCGCGGAGGCCGCCCTGGGCTCGGCCCGTCCCGCGAAAGGCGCGCACTTACCTGCGCCGAGCCCGCTTGACAGCACGCACAGCTGGTAGAACACGCAGCACACGCGGCTCAGGCGCATCCTCCCTCCCAGCGCCATCGGCTCCGCGCCCGCGGGAC